AATCCGCGTCGAATCCACGCCAAATCCGTATCGAGTCCGGATCGAGCACGCGTCGGCCCCCCCAAAAGACACCAATTTTTGGGACAGGCGAGGTCCCCCGAAGATGCAACAAAACAACACCGGCTGCACACAGAAGCGGCCCTGGGCAAGAATGGCCTTAGTGCGCGGCTTTCGAGCGCCGCACGGGAGGCCAAGTCCATTCCATCCAAGCGCGCCAGCCAGTGCTGCAGGGATCCCTGCGGGCCCACGCCCAGGGTCACCCCAGCAGAGGGCCACTTTTGCGCGTCACCGAACACACTTCAAGAAACGAGCGTGCACAGGTGGCGTCGACATGCCCCAGCTGGGACGGGGCGAGCGAGCGAGCGAGCAGCGAACTCACGCGTTTACCGCAGCGCGCTACGCGCCGCCATACCAACAAACGTTGCGGTATCCTCCTCCTCCTCCTCCTCCTCCTCCTCCTCCTCCTCCTCCTCCTCCTCCTCCCCCTCCCCCTCCTCCTCCGTGTCAGTGTGGTAAGACTTCGGGCTGCACACCGGCAGCCGCCCCCGGCAGTCCCGGCTGGCCTCCACAGGCTCCCCGACGAGTCCCCACGGGCCTCCGCGGGCGCCCCCAGTGGCCCGACCAGCCCGGGGGCGATCTCAGCACGAAACCTCACCATCCCATTGAGGGAAGGATCGAGCCTCCACTCGGGAGCGGCCCAGAGGGGGGCGTTCAAGAGGGGGGGGGCGCAAATCATGGCCGGCGGCATGTGCGCGGCCCCCGGGGGGGCCGAGGCACGTCATGAAACAAGAAGAGGCGCCATGAGATCTGGGGAAATATCATGGCCCACGCCATGATATTCCCCCCCCCCTAGTCATCACCCCCTCTTTTCCGCACACGCGCACGCACGCACGCGCACCACCACCCACTACGCACACGCGCGCGGAGCCACAGGTCCGCTACGACACGCGTCCGCGGATAGAGAAAATCAGCGCCATGGTAAGGGATGGGAGGGAACGGTAGGATGTCAGATGTTGACGCGAGCGCACCTAACTTGTCATCACCCCCCTCTTTTCCGCCCCCGATTCACGCCCCCCCCCAATGGCGGCCAGGCGGCTCATTTTTCCCCACCGGCCACGGCCTCAAGGCACACGTGGCCGGCCTGGGGGTTGGCAGTGTGGACCCGCCGCCCCCCCGGGGTCTGGCAGGCGCCGGGCCCGCCAAGCCGCGGGCGCGGCATCAGGGAGGTGCCAAGGATGCCCATCGGCACCTTCGCTGCAGGAGCGAAGCAGTATAAGTAGGAGTAGGAGTCAAGCTAGCCAGCTCGAGCGAGGCAAGCATGGCATGGCCATTCCCACCCGCCCTCCCACACTCCCACAACATGAGAAACAGTGCTGGCGCAACTGGGGGCCGACATCAGATCGGCAAGGTGGTTTGCCACAGCTGATGCAGCCGCGATGGCAGTTACCGCTGGGAAATTCATGGCGCGTCTCAAAGACTGCGCTGGCATTTCAGCACGAGCCGAAGGGGCCCCAGGAAACTTCAGGAGGCCCCCAGGAGGTCTCAGGAGGCCGCAGGAAACCCCAGCGAACCCCAGGAAGCCCCAGGAGGCTTCACGAGGGCCCAGGAAACCCCAGGAGGTTCCAGGAGGCTCAAGAAAACCTTAGGAGGTGGCAGGAAGCCCCAGGGAAACCCAGGAAATCCCGGGACGCCTCAGGAGGCCCCAGGAGGACCCACGAGGCCTTCATGAAGCTTTGGGAAGCCCCAAGATGTTCCAGGAGACTTAAACAGGCTCTACGCGCCAGACGACTTGGCAAGAGAAAAATGCGCGCTGTGACTTAGCGGGAACGCAACTTTCAGAAACCATGCGCGCGGTGCCAAAGCGAAAACGACATTTCGCCCAGTCGCGCGCGATGCGCACCGCGCCCCATTCCTGCCGCGCATTTCACAAAACCGACGACAAAACACTCCTCGCTGAGAATAAACAAGTTGACTGTGCATTGGTTTCTGACAGGAAAGATGGCCCCTCCCGGTTGAGGTTGCTCAAAACGTCCTCGCACGATGTGCGCCGTGCTTCACTCCTGCTACGCAGTTCGCATCGTCGACGACAAGACAGGCCATGTTGAGGGGAACCTCGGGGACTTTGTATGGTTTTCTACAGTACGGATGGGAAAACCCAGATTGACGTCCGCGCGCGATGCGCGCCGCGTCCCATGTTTCCACGCGCTTCACATCGTCGACGACAAGACAGGCCATGCTGCAGTCAGGATGGGGCCCACCAGATGGCACTGCTGCCAACAAGACGGAGCGGGGAAGTAAAGATAAATTGTAATACGGAATATATATATATATATATATATATATAAGCGTAAGATCAGGAGTAGGAGCGGGAATGGCAACGCTAATGCTGATCAACCTTTATACGCCCCTTGGCCCCGCTAGGCGTTTTCGGCACGGTTGAAAACCGGAGGGATGAAGCCCTGACGGGTTCGGGCCAGGCGCACGGCTTCCTAAGAGCACGCAGCTACTTGCTGGCAGCTGCCCCACATCTACCACAAATTCATCAGCCTACATGGCGATCACGCCATCCAGATCGACAAGCTGCGGGCGCGAGAAGCCCCAGAACTCCTTGGTCACTGCAGATACTCCTTGGTCACTCCAGAAGCCCCAGAAGCCCCAGAACTCCTTGATCCGTGGCACTTCAATCACCGCCGCTTACAGTCCGAAGGCGAATGTCGAGACATGCTGGGGGAGAGAGAGAGAGAGAGAGAGAGAGGGAGAACACAGCTTTTTCCCGCGAGTGACTCGCGGGACTCGCGACGGCATTGCGTGCCTGGGCGACCAGGCCTTCAACATCCGAGCCACATGCAGCAGCAGGAGGAGGGACAGGCAGCTCCTCCCCGCGCGTTCCCCTGCCTGCCCCACCTCCCCTTTGTCTTTCTCTTCCTCCCCCTCCTCAAGATGATGGCCGTCATCCCGAGTATTGCTGCTTCCCTTCCTTGCTCCTGGCGTACTCCTCACCCCTCGCGCACCACTCCTCGCTGGTTCCCCTCACGCACCATCCTCTTCCTTCTGACTCCTTCTCGCCTTCCATCACTCCTTCTTGCTCCGCTGGGTCGCACCTATATTCGGCGACCCCTGCGGATTCTTCGGCGGGTGAGATCCGTGCCCCCCTGCAGTAAATCCCTTCACCAAGAAACTGGTCCAGCCAACTTGGAGGAGGGGGGTCGGACACGAGGGTGCCGGGAGGTGCTAGGCGAGGCCGGATCCAAATTCGCCCGCGTAGTTCCACGGTGGTCCGGAGTGGCCTCCGAAATCGCGCAAGACGGTCAAACTTGGCCGAGATGGTCTCCAATATGTGTGCATGCCTCCGACTGGTTCGCAAAAGAACAATATGTTTAGTTCATTGCGTTTTGCTTCTCGGGCTTTTGTACATCGGACGGCTCTGAAAGCACGAAGCATGGCCGCATGGCGTCTCAAGAATGCCCAAAGACCAGCAACAAACACCCGACTCCTCACCCTCCTCATCCGTCCACCTCCATCTCCTCCTACTGCTTCTCATCCTCTCCTTCACTTCCCCCCGCTCCTCGTTGCTCATCCAGCTCCTTCTCATCCTCCCCCCGCGCCCACCACTCGCTGTGGCTTCCTGCTGCGATGCGGCGCGTCAAGCAGCTCAGCCATCTGCAGGGGCGCCGGTGGGACGTGCACTGAGCCCACGGATGCAATCGAGGCTCCTTTGGGGGGGGAATCGGTTGGGATATCTTGGAGCTCTCGTGGGACCCTCCTTCGGGCGCCCGGGGGCTAATCCAAGGCTCCCCTTGGGAGCCACCTCGCGCAGAACGTGCGACAGCCGAAAAGTTGCGAAAGCCTGAAGCATCGCGCGGTCATTGGCAGGTTGTCATTGCCGTCATTGCCTAGGCGTCCGCCCAGGGCTTCTCGAGACCCTCGGCCGTTGATGCAGAAGCGTGCAGACAGCACCATAAGGGGGGCTTCGCGCGTTCCGCCGGCCCGAGGCCCGACGCCAGCAGCCGCACCTTGATCCTCCCTTGGACGCAGGGAAATACGCACGATCTGCGCCCTCCGGCTCCTCGTGCCCGCAAGCACTTTTTGGCTCCGCGGGCCGAGGGCGCACCTCTTTCGGCCGCAGCTGCGCGGGCCGCGCGAAGCTTGCATTGACGGCGAGGGGGGAACAGAAGGATCGGGGAGACGTAAGACCCGGGTACGGGGGACTCGGAAATCCCCGACGAGGTCGTCAAAAAAATGACGAGGCCGAGCCTGCATTTTGACAAGGCCTCCCGCTGCAGACATCCCACGAAACTCCTACTCGTCAAAATCCGAGTCGCGGTCGTCAAAAAAAAATGGCGAACCCGAGTCCTGGCAAACCCGGGTCTTACGCTCCCCCGAAAGGAGGGGCCTCACTGGTGCCCGTGCACACGCGAGAGAGACGGGCCCCGGTGGCCTCCTGCGGCCCTGCCAGGGCCATCCTGCGGCCCCGCGGGCCTGCCGGGGTGCCCCCGCGGGCCGTCTGGGAGCAGACCGCGGGGCCTCCTCGGCGGGCACCGTGGGCCGCCTCGGCACCTCCGGGAGCCGCCAGGGGGCGCCCAAGGGAGGCTCTGGCGGGGAGGGCGCAATTGGGCGACGCTCTGTGGCCTCTGAGGCGGGGGCGCCCGCCCCCCCGCCGAGGCCAATGCGGGTGCTCACGAGCGTTGACTACTGCTTCCTGCATTCGCCGCCCCACCGTGTGCTCGGAGGGTGCACAGGGTCTGGTGGTACCCTGGGAATGCCAATACCCATGATGCGTGGAGCCTCCTGACCTTTTTTTTAACCGGGCGAAGAACGGTATAAAATAAACTGTTTCGCCGTCGGAGACACCTGCCCCTGGGCGGCTGGAAAGTTTATACCCTTAATCACGGTGACACCGTAGGGGTATAAACTTTCCGGCCGCCCAGGGGCAGGTGTCCCCGACGGCGAAAAAGTTTATGTTATACTGTTCTTCTCTCGCTGATTTTTTCCCAGCCGTATCACTCCAACATTGTCAGGAACATCCTGTCCCTAGCCGTGTCGAGCATGGATATCCGCACCCTCACATTGTCGCCGGGCTTGGGGAAGCCTTTGACCTCGCTGTGCAGGCCGCCGGCCCCCGCGGGAGCTCCCGTCTGTGAGCCGTCGCGCGGCACGGGCCGCAGTAGCGTCGCAGCTGTGGCGTGCGGGGCGAAGCTGAGTGAGTACCACCTGTATACAATGGGGGCTCGGCCGCAAGAAACCTTCGCAAGAAACCCAGCCCTGAATTCCGCGATCTGTTCGGCGAAAATCCAAATTCGTCGATCGAAAATCGTCAAGATCTTATTGGGGGCCCATCGAAATCCAAGAAACCCAGGGCACCCTCGCAAAATCCCAGTGGTTTCTTGGCACGCGGCCCCACTGTACCGTCCCCTTCCCTGTTCCCCAGACCAACTTACCAAACCGTCGCCGCAGGTGGTCCGAGGATTCCTGGCCTCCAAGGATTCCGCGCGATCCGAGCTGACAGATCTGCGCCCCCAGATTACCGCCCCCTGGCACACTACGACACGAAGGATACATTGCACGTAAGTGGCGACGAATCGGCATGCCCCGGCATAGCTCCAGCGTAGGTTACGGCGGTCGGCGCTCCAACTGTCGATGCGTCGCACAGAGTGACGCGTCAACGCTCTAAAGGCTGGGACCTTGTAATTCTCGACGGCTCCTCCCTGCACAAGCCACGACCATTCAGAAAATTCATCAAATCCTCGCTCGCAGAATCGCGATCCTTTGTAAATTGCTACGGGTCGGCATTCCTCGCGAATGGGTTCACAAAGATCCGCGCTCCAACGGCAACGATTCTTCTTTTACCAAAACTTGCGTCTCCAAAGACACAATCTCCCGTACATTGGGCCACGGTCCCGTGTAAATTGCTACGGTTCCACGGTCCCAAAACCATAATCCCCAAGACACCTGAAAAGACAGGACTGGGCAATACCGCTTTTGCCCGCTCGGCTCGTAAGACGGAAAACACAAGAGAGGAGACGAGATCGACACGGAGCCGGCCGGGTGAGAAGAGGACAGCATGGAGGATGAGGGGAAAGCGAGTGGTATCAGGAGGACTACGAGGAAGAAGACAAGCACAATGAGGATGAGGAGGAGGAAGAGGAGGAGGAGAACGAGCACGAAAAAGAGGACGACAAGATCAACGAGGAGGTGACAGCCGAGGAAGGCCCTTGAAGGGGCTCACGACGGCCCAATAGCCCCAAGAAAGCCGCACGTGGCCCAACGGTGGCCCAGTAAGGCCAACCAAATGGCCAGCAAGTCCCCTCCATAAGCCGCCGTGAAACACGTTTAGAATCCCGTCGGAATCATTTTGAAATACAGGTCGTTCCCCGAAAGGCCTGCACAAAAAATGTGTTACCGGCTATCGGAAGAAGATGGTATAAACATGACGTAGGCGAGCGGTCCACGTAATTTAGGTTCTGACCATCGCGAGTACTTAGTTATAAAGTTACAGTACGCAGCCGTTGACTCTTGAAGTAGTCAAGGGCTTCAACTACATCGGGGTCTGCAAATCCAAAACGGCCTGTAACTGCTAGACCTCCGTGCTCCACAATCGTTCCAGCAACACTTGGAAGACACATAATCGAACTACAGTCGAGCGAATTATACACTGACGGTCGGCAACAAGAGCTTTGCGTTTCTGCAAGGGCTGGGGGCGGCGGCGACTTCCCTCAGGCGTCTTCGATATCAAGCCATCCTGAGGAGCGCCCCCACTGGGTGGCTGCACCTCCACGAAAACTCCCGGGCCGTTGGACTCGGCTGACATAATGACGCCATCCATCCACTGAGATGTGGGGACTTTGAAGAACTCGCTGATGTCCCTGTGGTCTCGGTTGAGGAGTTCCTTCACCATCGTGAGCGAAATTCTGTTGTTGCCGAGCCTGTCCACCCAAACGTCGATCTCCTGGCCTTTCTTGACATACTTTCTTATGTCGCCCGGATCGGCATCCAGCGACATCTTCCGCCGTGGCAGCCTGGCCAGGCGCTCCGCGCCCACGCTCACGTACGCCGCATGCTCGCCCACGTCCGTGACCGTGCCGCGCAGCTTCTGGCCAACGTGCAGGTCACGGCTCAGGTGCTCCACCATGGACAGCTCGATCGCGCCGTCGCGCTTCACGAGGGTGACCCACACATCGACCTCCTCACCTATGCGAATCCGTTGCCGGAGCTCATCGCTCGTCACCTGCTCTTCTGGAAGAAGAAAGAACGCTAGAAACATAAACTTTTGGCGCTCCGCGCGGATTTCTTAGATCTGCGCTGGACCCCCCTCCCTGGCGCGCGGAGCGCGCCAGGGGCAGCGCCAGAAGCGCCGCCGGGGGGGGCCCAGCGCGGATCCAAGAACTCCGCGCGAGGTGCCAAAAGTTTATGTTTATGGCGTTGTTCCTTCTTCGATCTTCGGATACGTACTCCAGCGGCACGAGGCCTTCGCGTTCTGCCCCGACGTCGACGAAGAAGCCGAAGTTCATCATGCGGGTGACCGTTCCCCGCACCTTGGAGGCGGTCGGAGGGTGTGCGCCGGACGGGGCCAGAGAAGAGGGGGGTGCTGAGGCCAAAGCCGCTCGACATCCCTCTCTGGACTTATGTTGCTCCCATCGTACTTAAAGGACCACATCCCAGAAATCCGCCGGCCCCCTTGTGGGGCCACCAGGCTGTAGGCCGAAGGTTCGCAGTTTCCTGTGCCAGTTGCAGCTTCCAGTTTCCACTGTTACAGTTCTGCTTCTTGCTGCTTACTGTTCCTTGTTGATGGACCGCGCGAGGGGGGGAGGCCCAAACGGGCAGGTTTAGCACGCCCTGAGCGTGTGCTCTGCATTGCTGGGGTAAGTAAAAATTTACACCCCTCACCAGATCGGCGGGGTCTGGGTCCAAAAACACATGGGATTTGCCACATGTCTGAAATTCGGTGGCACCTCTCACGCGGATCGGCGGGGTCAGGGTCCAAGAACACATGGGATTTGCCAAATTTCTCAAATTCGGCGGCACCCCCCACGCAGATCCGTAGGATCAGGGTCAAAAAACATAGCGGATTTGCCACATTTCTGACATTTGCTGACACCCCTCACGCAGATCGGCGGGGTCAGGGTCCAAAAACACATGGGATTTGCCACATTTCTGAAATTCGGTGGCACCCCTCACGCAGATCGGCGGGGTCAGGGTCCAAAAACAAACCGGATTTGCTACATTTTTGAAATTCGGTGGCACCTCTCACGCAGATCGGCGGGGTCAGGGTCCAAAAACACACCGGAGTTGCCAAATTTCTGAAATTCGGTGGCACCCCTCACGCAGATCGGCGGGGTCAGGGTCAAAAAACACATCGGATGTGCTACATTTTTGAAATTCGATGGCATCCCTCAGGCAGATCGGCGGGGTCAGGGGTCAGGGTCCAAAAACAGATGGGATTGGCCACATCTCTGAAATTCGGCAGCACCCCTCACGCAGATCCGTAGGGTCAGGGTCGAAATACAAACAGGTCCCGACACTGCTTCACGGCGGCGCCCAGACCTCATGATTTAGCTTTTGTATCTCCCATTATCCAAGACAGGGGTCCGGCGGCATGGGGCGAAGCCTCTGCGGATGATTTCGAGCACCCAGGCAAGTGTCGAAACAGTGTTGGACGAGCATCGCCTCCCAGGACCCGACACGTGAGAAACCTCCAGCTTCGGTGCTTTCTTGGTGCTCGAAATTCTTTCTGGTGGTCATTGCTAAAACAGGCTGGACCATCATAAATGTGGACCCCTGACGGGGTCCAAACGCAACAGTCTTTCGAGCTGCGTCCGGCCGTGGCGACGGGAAGCCCCCAGGAGGCCCAGCAAGGCGAAAGCGGCGCCCTTCCCCAGCCCTTCTGCTGGCCAGAGCCAGTGCTGGGCCACCCCGCCCAACCCCCTCGCCATCGCTCGGACGTCCATTCCCTGTGTTTTTTTCGGTTTCGTGCGTGGCTTTTTCGCCAAATGATCAAGGATGATCCTCGATGGTCCCCACCGAGGAAAAAATGCACACGTCCGAGCGATGCCAAGTTCTGCTGGCAAGAGCCAGTGCTGGGCCACCCCGCCCCACCCCACTTCACCCCGCACCTTTTTGCCGAGCAGGTCTCTGGCGGGGGTCATTCGCACGCGGTGACCCTCTGGATCTAGAAGAAGAAAGAACTGCGTAAACATATTCTTTCGACGGTCCGCGCGGACTTCTTGGATCTGCGCTGGACCCCCCTCCCTGGCGCGCGGAGCGCGCAAGGGGCAGCGCCGGAGGCACCGCCGGGTGGGCCCAGCGCAGATCCACTAGAGCTCCGCGCGGACCGCCAACGTGTCATGCTCACGCAGCTGTTGCTCATC